ATTGCCCAACTTTCCTTCTGAGGAGGACTGGTGGGTTTGAACCGCCAGCCTTCTGGTTAGCAGTCAAGTGCCTTAGGCACTATACCACCAGAGTTCCCCACCGTGTCTAATGGAAGTGTTATTAGGGTTATCATTCCCAATTAGATTGAAAACCCCTTTAGAGGCAAGAACCACACCTTTACTTCATTTTCACCAACCCAGCATATGATGTACTGCCCAACCTGTCTAATGTTCTGCACACTTGAACAGTTTAATGACTAATTTTGAGTTTCGAGGCACTCTCCCGTGGCCTAGTGCCTAAGGCACTTGACCGCTAACCAGAAAGCTGGTGGTTCAAACCCACCAGCCACTCCTCGGAAGGAAGACTGGGCAAACTACTTCCGTAGCGATACCGCCTCGGAAACCACTGGGGTCGCTATGAATCGGGCCGACTGGATGGCATTGAGTTTGGTTTTGGTTTTCTCTCTCTTGTATTCGGGGAACTAAAGTCCACAGAGATTACACAGCAATATCCCCAGTAAAGTTAAAGAGCTGATGTCAAGCCGGGGCCTCGCCGCCACCTCCCTCGCCTCTCGGTCTATGCCAGCCGTTCATCATGGCTGAACACCTCAGTGGCTGCCGAAAGCCTGATAAAACCCCCAAGCTCCACACATGACTCCTTCCAATAATCACAGACGTCGTCTGTCCGGCCAACTAGGTTATTTATACCTGCTTTTTCCTCAACCTTGGCGCCCTCGTTTCTACCCAGTTTTCTATTCAGGGGGCATAAAAATCTGAACTTAAAAGCTACTGAGTGAGGGCAACGCCGGTGTCCCCAGTACAATTGCCTCTACTTTTGTTTTTTTAATGTGGGAAGTTTTTCATCGTCCAAAGTTGAGGAGAAATGTTATCTAGAGGCGAATTTCCTTCCTCAACCCAACCAGGCCTTCCCGCTTCTTCTCAGGACCCAGCCAAAATATATGCACCAATCAAACATAAGACCTCAAGTAAACAGGAAAAAAAAAAAAAATTAACATAAAGACTTTAGCACTAAGCCCACCATGGCACGTGGGCTCTCACCTCAGCTCGTGGACACCTCCCTCTGAACCGTCTCAACTGCCTTTTCCTGCCCAAACTAGTCCCTCAGGCTCCTGAATAATCAACGTGACTTCCTGGGCGGGGCGAGACGGTTCCTCATGAATAATTCATTACCTTACCAGCTTTGCGGGTGGGAGGGCCTCGCTTGGCTTCATGAATATGCAAATCAGC